TTCGGGAAGCGGGACAATTTCTCTATAATCTCAATAACGTTCAACTAGTAAAGTATACCAAAGGTTCTAAAGAATATTTAGCAGAAAGATGTCCAACGGTTATCGTAGATGCTCAGCAACATCCGTCTGAAAATAATTTGGAAGAGATAATTATGAAGTGCTTGAGAAATTGAATTTTTGGAGACAAATACGAATGAAATGTTACTGTTTCATTCATAATTCCGTGACAGAGACATTCAGATTCTTTACTATGATATTGGGAACACTTCTTCTGGCTTGTTAACACTATAAAATGTCTGAAACATTTCATCGTTTTCTGATACACTACAAACATGCACTGACTTGCATTGCTACTTAGATCTATTTTTAACTATTATTATGTACGAAGGCGGATTTGCCAATGATGAGAGTTTTTGATGGAATAGTTGTAGTCTTTAGTAATATAGAAATGTTCATATCTACGTATCTTAAGTGTTTTTAAATCTCTACACTTGAACCGTTTAATTAATTAATGAAGTTATCACAGTCGTTAACGGCGATGAAAAAGATAGTAACTGTCATTAGCCATTGTCTTTAGCAGAATTGTCGTTTACTGTATTCTTTTTCTTTTGTATACAGTACATTTTTGTTGTCATTGATACTGGTTGGTTGAAAAAGGAATTTTAACAACACAAACAATTTTATATGAATCGATGGACATTTCTTGATTTGTTCAAAAGTACAGTATACTCTAAAAACAAATAAGTGAAATGCATTCTTTCTGTCCTCGGATAATTCTAAATATTTCATGAAGACTTCACCTTAAGACGAAGAGAATAACTGAAAGAAATATTTTGAAATTTTGAGTTTGATCACCATCGTTGTCTATATAATTTTCACGTGCTTTCATCTGTAGAAGCAGATTCAACTCTCACACATTGTACAAACGACAAATAACTGTTTAACCGCACTTTTTATCGTAGAAACAATCATGAGAATATTTGCTCTATACAAATGCATTTCTGATTACCTACTTTTTGATTTTTGTATAATGTTATTTTGCATCATAAGTATATTTTTCAAAAGAATATTTGGAATTCGACCTGTCACAGTTTGTGTATTTCGCCTACTGAGAAACTGCAAATCATTACAAAAGAAGTTCTTTTGTCTGTCGGATCTGTATTTAATTAAAGTACTCTTAATCTGTCTTTACATATGGTTAACATTCGCTATTCTAGGGGTACAAATATTATCAGGAAAATTTCAGTGTTGCTCAAACAACGACAAAAATAAACTCATGTCTGATGTTATAGACCAACGGTGGGCAACCCTCGGCCCGCGAAAAGTTTCTATCCGGCCCGCGAGATGTTTAGAAGAAATTATAAATAAATATTTTTCGATGTAATTCGTCTAGTTTAAATTGAATATTATTTTCTGAAGTGTTGTGGCAGCAATGACAGGAAAAAACAAGGGAATCATTTCCTTATTCAAACAAAAACTGGGAGAACAGAATTTTTCTAAATTATTTATATCTCATCGCATCATCCAACAAGAAAATCTATGTGCAAAAGCTATGCAATTAGAAAATGTAATGTCTGTCGTATCCAACTACATAGTGCTGTTTTTATTGTGTTTAAAGTCACTTAGATTTTACAAATAGATGAGCCGTTCACAGCACAGCACACGCATTTGTGAAATCTAAGTGACTCATACAACATGGAATTCATATAAAACGGAATAATCAACAGTGTTATAGGGGGTCGACTGTAGTAATTAATTTCTTTTTATTTATTTATTTATTTCATATTTGCAGACTAAAAACTTACAGGTCACAAGGTGTCAATTAACTACTATGGCCCGCCGAAGAAACGTAAAATTTATTCTGGCCCATGTTATAAAAAAGGCTGCCCACCCTTGTTATAGACAAACGAATTGACTGCGACCAGGAAAATGTGACATGACTAACACCAAAAATTAATTCCGATCTTATTGGGAAGAGTTACTGAACGCGTTTACACGTGTCATTCGATTAAACAATAAATTAGCCGGAATTAAACACTTATTATACTATTTCCCAAGCATATTCTCGCAAACGATATCTTAAGTATAAAATTAAAAAGCAAACAATAAGATATCATTGCAGAGTATGATAGGAAAGATTTAGCTAATTTCTCACAATTAGGAATAAATTCTTCCATGTTAATGATCCTGCTTATCACGAAATTTTACATAATTAAAATCAGTTATTTATTTATTTTAAAATATCAACATTTTGATATTGTGAAATAATATATACTATAAGCATTAATTTACACAATAAAAACTTAACTGCATAAAATATATATATTGTGAAAGAAGGAACAAATTTTGGTTAATATAATAAATATATAAATTTTTTATTTCATATCAATAGAAACATTATGTAAATGTTAGATGATAAAAATTATTAAGCACAGTTACAACTATGTATGTAAGTAAGCTAAATATTGACATATTTCTAATATTGCTACAAGCCTGTTTCTGGCTGTATTAGCTAAATGATAAATCATATAGTATTCAATGTATAACTTAATTTTTAAATTAGAGGAACCATCAAATCTATATGCAATGAAACATTTGTGTTTTAAATAAACTATTAAATGATCATCACCATTTAGTTTGTTTGTAAATTATTTATACTAAAGGTATAATTGTAAATAGGTGATTACAATGACAATAATTTGTAATAAATAAAATTCACACCATTTTAAAGTTTTATTAATAGTATAGATTTGTTTAACTCAATATGAAAATTGCTTAGGAACACCTCAACTTGTTTCTTGTTTTATGGTACCAGAAGATAAATGAATAACCACAAAAATATTTTAATATAAAAAATTCTATGGTTGGGTTCAGGTTGATAACTATTTCCATTAGTAACATATCAATAAAATAAGCAATGAATAAACTTAACATATAAAATGTATGAAGATTGCTATAATAAATTGATATATTCAAAAGTTACAGAGAAAATTTGTTACCTGCAACAACAAAAATTTTTTACATCATCAGAAATCTGGAAATAATGTTACGGAAAATGTAAATTATTCTAATTTAGAATGATTTCTACTATAAAATAATTTACCTAATTGATTGTAAAGTGACTGGGGTGAATTTATGACTGGGTGCAACATTTTTTTCTTTGTTTTACAATGATACAGGTGATATATTACATAAGATTTTAATGTAAAATATTATATTAAAATTATAAATTTATATAATAAAGTTCAATAAAAGATTTAAAATTTTGTACACATATCATTTTAATTTAAATTTTATTTCCATCTTTATATTTTTTCTATCAAATGCTATTGATGGTACAATACAACCAATTAAAAACAATCTTACTAGAGATTTGATAACTTTACACAACTTAAAGGAACTTTATGCTCTGACACTTGAAATTTCTATTATAATGAATCCATTTTAAATAATTTTACATTTTAGAAACTTATACTATAATTTTTGCAAATTATGGAAATGTGTAGCAAAAAGTATTCATAGAAGAACACTTTTAAATAGTTTTATCATGTATTTTCAATTTGTCAGAACAGTATATACTTTTACAACAATTTGATGTCACTCCTTTATCTTTTGTAATAGAAAAGTATAAAATGGCATAAAATTGATGTATAGTAAAACCTATTATCGGGGATAGGGATTGAGATGGTGACAGATAATAGAATTCCCCTATTAGTACAGAAGAATTAAATTACAATCCTTTATGCACAACATTATGCAATCAACCGATTATTTACTGTACATTGCAGTATTTATATGCAATGCAGTCCCTTAACATATAATGTAGAAACAGAGGGTCATACAGTACAGTATGTACTTATTATTATTATATAATAACTCTACTTCTCAAAATTGAATTTAGCACACTGGTGATTAAAGTATTATGGATAATAGAGCTTTTACTATAATAATGTAGTGTATTCTGATGAAATGTATGCACCCAAAAAGAATTTTTGTAAGGAAGATAATGATGATAAACTAAAAATAGTAATATATGTGTGTATGTAATAGAAAAGTAGAATAATGAACACTTTTGAGAACAGCACTGAAATGAATAGTTTTAATTATCATTATGTGAAAACTTAAATTATCTAATAATAATAATAATTAAAATTATAAATAATAATGAAATTAAGAGTGCAAAACAAAATTACCATTTACAACACAATATTTATTTCAAGAATTTTTTTTCATTAAAAACAATTGCTTGTCTTTTGGTGATTACCCCAATATGAGGTTTATTTAAATCACAAAATATTGATTGATTACGCCAATCTTTTATATATAAAAAATTACAACGATAATGATAATGCAATATCTTATTGATAAAAACAAATATTGCACTTTATTAACAAATAATTATTTGGAAATTTTTTTACATTGCTCAAAACGACATAATATATGACTAAATTCAATGTAATGAAATTTTTGACTTACAATTCACCTGTCGTTAATTTTCGTATCCTAAGTTTTCAGTTATCTTTAACCCAGTCAACATTGTAATTCATCTAAAAATCAAATTCATCATTTTTAACATAGTTTAAATTATTGATTTAAGGTCAAATTAAAATTCACTTTTTTAAGTACATATTGTTGCAAAATTGACCTATAAATAAACTTTATATAATATACATAAACAAAATATTTTTGTTCTCAAAAATTCTCTCTACCTTGCTTACAATAATTCTTTGTATCCAATAAGTTAAGGAGAGGAAAAAATTGACTAGTAGTTTTGAGGAAATTTAATATATGTTCACATAATATATTACAAATGAAATTATGGGTCCTGCCTCGTGTACTATTTTATCCATTAAACAAATGAGTAAAATTATTCACAAAAAAAAGGGTGTTACAGATAGCCAAAAATTAATAATCACCAGATATATATTAACAAGAAAAATATAATTTTATGAAAAATTACATTGTTAAAATAGTTATTTTTTTATAGTAGGTTAGAAAAAATATATTATTGATGGTGATTTTTTGACTTTTTCAAATTTAGATTAAGTGAATGATTTTTTTTTATGATAGGAAAAATTATAAAAGTTTAAGAAATAACAGTCTGAAATATTTATACAATAATATACATGTACTATATAACAAAATTCAGTCAACAGCCATACAATATTTTAATATTAATGCCTTACTTTTTACATAAATAAATAATAGTGCTTTGTACTTCAATTTACTACATCAATCTGCAAGGTATCGTAATTGTCAGTCAAGTGGATAATAACTTTTATTATTTACATTGCACAAATTTCTATTGCTGAAATCTTCTAGAATAAAACTCTTAAGAGTATAAGCAATATCTGAGAATTAAAACTCTGGTGTTGATTGTGAATAAAGTAGACAATAATGCCCTTCAAAATAAACCCTATACAGGTATTTCAATTATAAATATTAATAAGTTATTACTGAGTATTTCCACTTGATTTTTTACTGAAAAAGTATTTTATAACTAACAATAATATGAAAACTAATACCATTTCATACACAGATCAATTGATAACAAAGTATTGTTAACACCCTAAAACCTATGAAGTGTTCCAAATCAATTTCTTGCATTCTATTTTGTATATACTGTAATCTGATCCATATAAAACATCTCTACTAAAATCCTAAGAAATCTATTTTGTCCTAGAGAACTGATTTATAAAATAGGAAGAAATATAGGAACACTTATATCTGTCATTTTTTATATATACACATTTCTACACATGGACATTTCAAATAAATCCAATTGGGTATACAAACTGGAATTCATTGGCATGATTCATAAACAAAATATTGCTGCCAAGATGATAATGGAGCTGCATCATTACTACATTTAGTAAATTTATTTATGAGAACATCTGATATTTTTATTGTTATGTTTTAGATCTATGCTAAAGTATCAATATAACTTTATTGTATATCACAATGAATGTTTAAATGACATATTTCTATAAAAAATGACAATCTAATATATGACTATGATAGGCATTATTCCAAGTTATTACCATATTTACAGTCATTTGCATAATATCACAATTAGACAACATATGAGAACCTGTTCTGCAAATATTCAAATTTGGGCATTATGCATACATTCAACTGTCTTTTAAGTACCATACTTATGGAAGAATTTAAAAAATTAAGAATTAAGCCATAAAAAGTAAAATTATATTCTCATACACTTATGCCCTTCTGAATAATAAGAATCTTTGGCACCTAACTTGAAATTTATAAAAATTTTAAACATTTCAACTGTTTTAAAAGATAACGTTTGAAATGTAAAGTCTGAAAGAATATTGATAAAAACATTATTACAACATACTATCATTCAAAACTTCACATATCCCCAAAATTTATGGCTATATTTATTAACACTTATAAAAAATAAATAAATAAATAAATCTTTGTTACAAGAAATTCATTATTATAAATTTAAAAAATGAATTTCTTATAACAAATAACTGATATATTGATTCACAGCTGAAATTTAACAAAATCGTTTATGCAACAGCTCAAAAATCTCAGTAATGAAATTTAAGCTTTCTTTTTGAATAACATGTTAGCAAAAAAAAAATCAATTTTGTCAAATTCCACATTGGATTTTTCCAATTTCTACAAAAAACTTTTAAATAATATATTATAAAATATAACTTCAGATTTTGTTTGTGGAATTAAAATGGCAGCAGTTCAAATTCTATATGTTATCTATTATTTAAATTATTATCTGTTTTATGAATTTGTAAATTCATTGAAACAAAAACAAATTTGTAAACCTCAGAACATTGACAGATGTTGACATGATATGGAAAATTTTACCAATCCAAACAAACATGAACAGCACCATATGAAGTGGATGGCTGAACATACCAATAACAGATATTTCAACTTTTTCAACCAGTTAAAGGATGAAGATCAACTTTAACTTTTTCAGAAATACTCAACATTCCAACTGTTGGATAAAATCCTCCTTTTGGTATACACACTTCTTTCTGACCAATTGTTTTGCCATTTCTAGTAAAAAATACCTGCAAAAAAAAAAAACTTTTAAAATTACTTATTATAAGTTTGGTTAGGATATTCAGCTATAACACATCTATATATATATATTGATAATTTCAACATTATTATATGTAAATATATACAATGAAGTTAATTAAACCTCTATCTTTACAATCCTGGTTTATTTTGAAAAACTGTATTAAGATATTAAATTTCAGAAGTTTAGTGTCCTTAACTGAGGTTCTGTTTCTAATATAGTTTGAACTATGTAATTCCACAGAAAAATAAAAAATATAATCTAAATATGGTAATGTATATAATCATAATAGAATTTCATATTAGTCATAAAAGTAGTCATAAAGTAGATCTCCACTTTATAACTATAATTTATTAAGACATGTAAAGTATACAAATTAAGAATTTGTATCATGTGTCTAATGTTTGCAAGTTATATTATATTCAAAAGACAAATTGATACTGGTAACACAAATAGTGCATAAATAAGATTCTGTGGTGCAGAGAAATTTATAGACCAGGAAATTTTCTGAATATTAGAATCTGTTGCAAGTTTTTCAAATTAAATCTTTTTCAACTATAGAAAAATATTTAATCATCATATAATAAATGAAATTAGAGTCTGAATTAGTTCTAAAAAATGAATAACTTAAAATTTGTCATTTCTGTATACAGTATTTTTATTTAATTATATCTATAATAGTTGTTCAAAAAGTAATGCACCATAATTTATATCTGGGAAGTGAAGACTGTGATATGGCTCCTCTTTTGAGAAGTTATACCTGGAAGCTTTTGCTAATTTTGTGGAAAACTTCAAGTCCCACTACCAGGTAGGACTACTACAGCTCCATTGAAAAATAACAAATGTCAGTAATGTACGTTCCAAGCAGCATACAGTGATAGAATTCCTCACTGCTGAAAAGGGAAAACTGTTGGAAACATTCACAAGTAATTGTGTGGTGTCTATGGTACTGCAGCTGTCAATCAAAACACTGTCAGTTGTTTGGGGAAATGTGTGAAGTCAATGACAATAGGAATAGATCTCTGCAATTTGACATGAAGTGGTCGTCCCACCACAGCTGTCACAGCAGCCATGATGTAGTGCTTTGATAAAATGATTTGGGAGGAATGACAATTTACAGTCCAATGGCTGGAAGAATGCTTGTGCATTAGTGCTGGGAATGTTCATAAATTCATCCATGAACTTGGGTATGTCAAAGTGTGTTTACAATGGGTCCTGGAACAGCTCACACTCAACCAAAAAGCAGCAAGGAAAACCATTGCATTGGAACTTTTGCAACAAGTCTGATGGTGACAAGTTCTTGGCTCGCATCATCGCTGGAAATGAAACATGGATGCCACATTTTAAACCCAAAACAAAGAGACAATCAATGGAATGGTACTATCTACACTCATCATGGAAGAAAAAAACAAACTCATTCCATCAGCAGAAAAGGTTATAATCACTGTGTTTTGGGACATTTGCAGGGACATTTGCAGTGTCATTTGGGTAGATATCATGCCTAAAGGATCCATCATTAACTCAGAGGCTAATGATGCCATGTTAAAAAGGCTGAAGAAGCATTATTAACATGTCAGATACGAGAAGAACCCACATAAATTATTTCTTCAACATGACAATGTGAGACCACACACAAGTCTGGAGACTCGTGAGGCAATCATGAAACTGGTTTTTGGAGTATTGCCACATCCATCATACATTTCTAATTTAGTGCAGTCAGATTTGTATCTTTTTGGTCTTTTGAAAAATGCTCTTCATGGGATAAAGTTCCAGTCAGATGAAGCTGTTGTCACAGGAAGTGGTTACATGCACACGTTTAGGACTGATACCGAGCCAGCATACGTGCCCTCCTTCAATGCTTGTGTAGGGCCAAAGACAAGAACAGAGACTATGTTGAAAAATAACATGAATAACTGAAGGTAACTATGAGATGCCCAAGTTTTGTGGTTGTATGTTTCATACTAGTGGTAAAATAAATTCTATTGCCTTACTTTTTGAACAAACTTTGTATATCTATGTAGGTTGCTCGAAAAGTTTTCTCCTGCACATCATCTACTGGTCATGGCAAAATGAGTCTTTTACCAATCAAAAGAGCATGAAAAATAAAGAGGTAAGGTCTAAGCCAAATTCCTGATTCCAGTAATTTCTGAACAAGCATTGAGGAAATATTGGAAAATGGCAAAGTGGACAAAAACCAAATATCACACAATTATCTTTACAATTTTTTACACAATTTCAGTAAAGTGTTTTCAGAAATATCTCCTGTTTTGAGAACAATGTCCTTCTTTAAGATCACTACATGATGATATAAACAGTTCAAAAGTGGTGATTATAGTGTGGTGGATAATCCATACTCAGGTTGGCCAGCAGAAGCAATGATGTCAGAAAATGTAGCCACTGTAGAGAAATTTTCAGCAAAGACAGACAGATAACCTACCAGCAGATTCAGGAACTATTGCAGATTAGTGCATCATCATAACCTAGAATCAAAGAAACTTTGTTTTTGGTGCACCACTCACTGATGGAATAGCAAAGTACAACAGGGTAGAATGATGAAAAAAATGCTTAAACACTTTGAGTCTAGAACATCCAAGGATGTTAGCAGCATTATAATAGATGATGAGATTTGGCTGTATTATTACAATGTGCCAACAAAATCAAAGAGCAAAATTTGTCTTTTTGAAGACAAAGCAATTCCAGTAGAGATCCAAAAATTATATTCAACAAAGAAAATTATTTCCACATTCTTTGGAAAACATGGTATTGTGAGAAGTGTTGTACTAGAAAAACAATACACAGTCACTAGTTCCTGATACACTCAAACATGTTTGTCAAAAGTCATTCAACAACTCCAGAACATGTGACCAAGATCCTGGCTTAACATATGGCTCTCTCATCATGATAACACTCCAGCACACAAGTCAAAGAACACAACTAGCAGTTTGATCAAGTATGGATGGACTAACTCTTTCAGATCACCCTCCATACAGCCTAGATCTTATCTTGCCCCCTATTACTGGTTTATTTCCAGAAGTCAAAAAACATCTCAAAGGGAGGCATTTTTTCAGCAATAATTAGCTTCAAGCAGTGTGAAATCAAGTATGCTGCCCTCCCAGAAGAAAGGTAGAAGGTATGATTTGATTCAGCATATGGCAAGATGCATCAAGTGTAGTAAAGAGAATTTTGATAAACTAAAAATTATGTGTAGAGGACAGAAATTTCCAAACAAGTTTTGTATCTCTGTATCTGTACCTATATTTATGTGTATTCTATATCTATATTTTATATAGTTATATATTTTTCTGTATATTTTTGTAGCTTTTAAGTAAGTATTTTCTCATTTTTAATATGGGAATAGTTTATTTTGCTAATTGGCCATTATCATGTATCATTTTTATAAATAACAAGCAATTATTTATTGTGACATCGTCACAATGTCAGCTACAATTTTTAATCATATTTTTAATTTAATTTAAAATATATGCTCTCCACCTCAAATTAGTACTGTAGTGTCTTACTCTGTACATCATACTTTTCCTTTAATAATAGAGTCATGCTGATCATCTACTAACTGCTTTCAGGAAAAAAGTTTTGAATTGAAATAACATGATTTCCAGGTTGAATTGGATGTTCATATATAGTTAATCGGGGTTACCTGCCCCTACGGTTTCCATATCTGGTCTCGAATTTCATCTATCTAACTCTGTTCTTGAGATCAAGGAAAGACAGATGGATGACAGTGGGAATTTATATGTCTACAATTTTTTCAAATTGCAGCCCAATTTTCTTACATGTAAGAGTTCTTTACTTAGGCATCATTTTATTTGAATGAAATTCCTCTTGACCAAAATTTAATTTAAAATGATGCTTCTATTAATAACATAAAATCAAAAAATAATTGGAAATCAATGAAGGAATGCTAACTCAAGAAGTTATTTTGAGAAATGTTTTTATATTGAATGGGAGTAAGTTATTAGCCAGAATGGCTGAAAGGATCACTATGCAAGAGTGAAATAGCATATTTTTTTCTTCTAATTATTTTAATTAGAATTAGAATTAAACAGTAAAATAGATGCAATAAAAAATTTTCAAACTTACTTAATGTAATTAAGTAATTTTGAAAATAATATATAAAATGTAAATGTAATTCATATGTAAATACTTTAACAATTTAGAAATATAGATTTTCCTTTAATATATTCTGTGTGTGTGTGTGTGTATGTGTGTATACTAGCTGTTATCCGCAACTTCGTCCGTGGGGATTTAGCAAGTAAACCCCATTTATATTCAGTATTTCAACAACCATAGTAATTGTTATATAACACCTACCGCTGAGAATGATGAGAATTGCTGAGAATCAAACAAACTGTTTTCAATTTGATCAATTTTCTGGAACGTTTACAATCATTCTATAATTGAACCAATATGTAATAACAAATTTGAATTTAAAACTGTTCGAACATTTGGTTAAAAAATCAAAATATATAAAAATATTTATAACAATATCTGAAATGTTATCAATTTAATACACCTAAGTACTCAATGAAGACTAAATGTAGTTGAAAATAAAAAATTGCATCTAAAATAGTATAGTAGAAGCTGTTCTTCAGGTTAAGCCTTAATCTTCTCCCTCTCCCCTCTGCGAGGGAATTTCAAAAAATCCCTTCTTAGTGTGTGTTTTCATGACGTACCCTGTGTACCAAATTTCACCACTTTAGGTTCAGCAGTTTGCTCTGGGTGGTGATGAATCAATCAGTCAGTCAGGACAAGTAATTTAGATATATATATATATATATATATATATATACATCTATGTGTGAAATCTATATATATACAGTAATACCCCGAACTTATGCGATAGGTGGGACTGAGCGATAACCACGTAAGTCGGGGTATAATTTCGCATATAAATACATACAAATAATTTTTAATTGGGGCCGAAGACTAAAGAAAAATATAATTTAGAAAAAAATGATTAATCTTAGATAATACATATGTATAACATATTATATTATCATACAATTTTTCACAATTACTTGTTTATCACACCATAATTTTAACATTGTTTCCATTTCAGGGATAATACCATGACGTTTATGAATGATGCTTGAATTTAAAGATTGAGCATTTTTTTACAGCTTCGTGAATTCTTTCTTTATGTTTTATAATTGTTCTGACCATCGATTCCGGTAAATCAAACTTCTTTGCCAATTACAAATTTTCATTTTTGTATCAAAGTCTTTAATAATGTTAACTTTACATTTCAAAGATAAAGTTTTTCTTTTCTTGTCTGATGCAGGAGAATCAGTTCTACTTCATTTGGATGACATAGTAGAGTTTCTCGAGTCTTCGTAGATATAACAAACACAGAAATAAATTGTAGCTATATGTCGATTCTGTGCGACATGTCCGAACATGTAAGCCAAACAATAGTGTGAGAGGAGTGAGTAATTGAGAGTTGCGTGGCACTCAAACAAAAGACGAATCGACGAGATTTGAAAATCGCGTAACTCCGGGTTCGCGTAAGTCGGGGTAGCATAAGTCGGGGTATTACAGTGTATAGATTTCATAATATTTTAATTTTCTTTGATAAAAATAATCTATAACTCTAATAATAATTAAATTTTTTTAACTAGTAAAATACATAATATGTTTTATATAAAATTAAAATTAAAGCTAATCAATTCTAAAATAATAATTAAAGGATGATCTGAGATTTCTCTTACTTAATACATGAAAAGTGCATAAAATAGTTTGTTTCCTTTTGTTCAATAAAATACTTACTTGCACCATTGTATCATTTTCTACATTATTTTTCTCTTTCCACCATTCTTCATCTTCTGATTCACTTTGTGAAGCATCATAATCATCATCTGGTTCATCACTTGGAGAAGGAGTCATTTCATGAGAACTACCATTATCATAATTACAAATATAATCTCTAGGAAAAATAATTCCACATCCCATAATGTCTCCTAAAATAATTAAAATTGTATAAGATTGAATTTTGTAGTTAAAAGAGCAATATATTTATTTTTTTAATGACATTAGAATATCAGTAAAAAATTCAAATGTGTTATAATATTTTATTATCATTAATAGTAAAAATTTCCAAAGAAATGGATTGTACAGCAATATCTGGGTCCTTTTGAAATTGTTTCAAAACCTTTCATTTGTGAGGGGACTACAATGGCAATGGTGTACACTGAAAAGTGTTTGAAGAAGTATTTGATACCTTTCATTGACAAGCATTACGAATGTAAGAAAGTGGTACTCCAACCAGTCTTGCTTCTGTTCACTGTGCCACTTTAATGACAACTTTTTCAGTGTTTCTGGCATTAATTTTGTTGAGAATGCTGAGAATGCTCCTAACATTCTCCAGGATATTGAAAGATTTGGGTGATTTGTAAGCACAGTATTCCTATCAAAAGTCCCAACCAAAATCTCTTTGTAGATTCAAGCATGTATGGAACAAAATCAGCAAAGAAGCAGCAGAAGAATTGGGCAAAGTACTGATGAAGAGAACTAACAAGTAAGACTTTATTGGAGATCAGCAGGGAAGGTATGCTTTCTGTAATTTAGCCATTGAATTGTAAAACACATTTGGCTTGTCATTTGCATTACACTGTCACAGTTTTGTACTTCATTTCCATGCACTACAGGTTGTATTATTTCAAACATCAATTTAATACCTGACTATCCCTTATTATAATGTTGATATTTATTGTAATATTAATAATATACAAACATGTTGAAGTACTGTATAAAAACAAACATAAGAAAAGTATATAATCAAACTCAGCCAATGTTAAAGAAAATTTATTTTTTATGATTTAATATTTTAAAACTAATCATTTTTAATGTGTAATTTGAAAATTCATTAAAATGAAAATTAAATTGAAATTATCATTACAGTATTCATATTATAATATTAAAAGTTAAATTAAAATGATAGTTGAAACACTTTATATACTGTATACATATATACAAAATAAAATTAATAATTCAATATTTATTTTAAAAAATATTTTATTGATCTATTTCTGTAAAATATTTTTACAAAAAGTCTCAAATTTCAGTAAATTTTAACTACCTTTATGACAACATGGTCCAAAAGGATCTCCAACTCCACTTCCAACAAATATTTTCCCATCATCTATAACAGTTAAATTATAAAATATATATATAAAGTCATAGACACATGCTAAAATTTGTCATTTCAAGAAGTGCCTTGCCATTTCATGAAGTGCTAGTACATTTCTAACAGACATTTGTTTCAGAATCAGTCTAATCTTTCTGCTTACTTCTTGAAATGCTATCATAGTTTCTACAATCTCGAAACAGGTGTATATTTCAGCATCTGTCCAATGAAACTAAGCATTTAATGTAATGTTGAATGGTTTATTAGCACATGACATAAAACAAAATAACTGAATGTTTCTCTATTTTCTGTATATTATACACAGTCTTGTACCATACAATGTTCTGTATATATTGTTAACTAATTAACACCTTAATGAGATAGGCCAGCATGCATGAAAAATAAAGAATGTCTGTTCTAAAATGACTTGTACTGCACATGATCAATTAGGGAGTGTCTAGAGTAGGTATGAACCTGGATTCCACTGTGGCAGATTAGCATATTATCATTTGGTGATCTCTGTATATTGTAACAAGTAGATTCTTGGATACATGTCCTTGATGACAATTTTTACATATTAAAAAATTTTTTTTACTTTGTTTTTTGCTCTGTGGGAACTAAGAGGACCTTTCTCTCATACCCATCATGAGATTGGCAAGAACCATAGTGAGGATGACCAAGTGGGGAGAGACATGGCTTAATAGCGAGGTTAGAGCTGAAGTTTTCATCTCTAAAACGTGAACATCGAATGTTGAGTGTCACTATTGTCACTATCTTGTAAGCAGCACTCGATGGTTGACATTCACATTTTAGAGATGAAAACTTCAGCCACAAACTCGCTAATGTATCCAGGACTTGCTGCCCAAAAAATTTCTGGCATTGGTCATTCAGATTTGATCCTTGATCTTCCCAAGAAAAGCAGGTTAACACCTTAATCACCACAGTCATACATCCAACCATCACACTTCTAACACTCAATTTGTATAATATTTACAGCAAAGCACAATGCTGCAAACATTAGAAAATAAATTATGCTGTATTATTCATAAGTAAATTAACACTGAGAACACTTTCTTTTCAACATTATCCATGTTTAATGTTGAAAATAAATGTTTTCACAAAAATATTTCTTTTCGTCATTAAACATGGATAATGTTGAAATGACAGTGTTCTCAATGTTAATTTATCTCATGAACATTTCAAAGTGAAAGAAAAAAGTTCTTTGTTTTGCTGCATTGTTACCAACATTACTTTTATTGCTAGCTTTGCAACTAAACTAACTAAATAAAAACAATTATGCAATCTTATTTTTGAGTAGTGTATTTATCAAATGGTATTCATTATTGTTTTTTCATTATAAAATATTATAATCTAGTAACATAACCAAAAAAAAGTTTTGGGAGGAACCCATACTTTGAAACTTTTCCTTGAATGNCGACACGCAACGGAGAAAAATTTCAACACGGGATAGGTTAAAATATTTTTTCGTACATAATCGGTTATCCGAAAAATAAGTTATCCGAACAACCTCAGTCCCCAATTGATTCGGATAAACGTCGCTCTACTGTATATAAAGTATATGCATCTGTGGATTTCTTAATGGTATTTTGTAAATGTCAATCCTGTCTAAATAAGTCATTAGACATTATATGAAATGTTTAGTTTTATTAGACAGATTCTGAATTATACACCCATTTCAATATTATTAACATTTCAAGAAATGAAATGAGATAGAATCTAAAACAAGTGTCTCTTATGGGATATACTAACGTTTCAAAAAATGAACAAGCATTTCTTAAAATGGCAAATTTTAGCATTTCACTATAACATATTTACATTTTGATATTTAGAGTGTTCTGCAAAGTAGTGGCAATATTTTTACAGTGTGTTCTATAAGCTTAGAAGATACAAAAATGTCTTATAAATTTTTTCAAATGCATTGTTTCAGAACTAGAAAGGATTAAAGTTTAGACTAGCTCTGCAGCACTTCTAAACACTGTAGAAAAGCCTCGAGTTGATTGCACTTGAGCTTCTTACATTCAGAACATTATATTTTTTGCAAAAACATAAAGATCACTGATACTGACTTCTCCACAGTGCTTAGCAGTGCTGCAAAGCAGAATCTTAAAGGATAGCTAGCACTAAAACAATGTGTTTGAAGGGTTATGCTTACAAGACATTTTTGGATCCCCGGGACTCTAGAACATGCTACAAAAATATAGTCACTATCTTGCAAAACACCTGTATATGAAGTTTGTTTTTCAATAATCAACAAAAATAATAAAGAATTTACTTTATGATTAAGTAATTTATACTCATTGACCCAACATTTTTATATGCTGTATTTGCAAATTAAAAATTTTTTTACTTAACACAGATTCTACTCTATTCATAATTCCAAATATTTCCTTTAGAACAGAAATTTTTTGTCCATTAATGATGGGTCTACCATAATTCATTTACAGATTTTCACTACTCTTCACATCCTTGATAATTTTTTTTCCTTAATAATGTTTTCAATTAGTAACGCTGATACCTTAACTACTACATCATTAGCTCAGTGGGCCTATGTTTAAAGTGTTAAAATCACTTGAAATCATTCTCATATAATTAAAAAACATAATTTTAGGATTTCAGAATACTAGAAGTTATATATTTATTATTTCAACAAAAACAATGAGGTTATAAATAAACATAAAGCCCACAAACTCTCTAGAACATAGAGGTTACTGAACTCATTCAACATATCCTAAAATTGGATAATTAGCAGCTTTTTGGTTTTATAATTTTATTTACTTTTATTTGTATTTATTTTATTATAAATTCTACTTTTTTATTTGTTATTTTATCCCGTATTTTTTTTGTAATTTTTAAAATACAAAAAATTTATACAAATTTAAATATTTGAAATATGTATACTGAATGCTGCATTCTCTTTTTAAAAACAGCTGATGATGGTCAAAATATAACCTGAAATTTTCTGTTATGTTCTTGGTTTCATAAATCAGTTGTTTTTCTATTTTCTATTTGAGTTATTTGAATTTTTTTACTAAGTTATATAGATCTTTTGGTTATAATTTAAATATCTGAAAATGATGATAATAGCAAAAATCATTAAAATTTTAATTTTTAAATGATTGCTTTTATAATCTGTGTTACAATTTAAAAAAGAAGAAAGTACAAAGTAAGCCCTCAAAGGAATTGATAGCTGAAAACAGTAAAGCTTCTTAGTAAACAATATCTTTTACAATATTTGTTGAATATGTAAACACTACATAAAATATTTTATTTGACTATAAATAATTTATTATAGAAAAACATTTGTANTAAAATTACACAAATTATACATAAAAAATTTAAAGATATCTAATAAATACAAAACTGTAAAAAAGTGACTATTATCAAGTGAACTGATCATAAAAAAGTTATTGTCATACAATTTATACATCAAAGAATGCCTTCAATCAAATTAGTATTTTTGGGCTGCAGTTTGAAAATAATGTAGACCTATAAATTCCCACCGTTGTTCATTTGTGTGTCTGTCCTTCCTTAATCACAAGAAAGGAGTTAGAAAGATGAAAGCCAAGACCAGATATGGAAAGCTTAAGGGCAGGAGGTCCCAATTAGCTATATACAAACCTCCGATGCAAACCAGAAGTCAGGTTATTTCAATTCAAAACTTTTCCCCTGAAAAGTGTTAGATAGATGATTGGCCCGACTCTATTGCTAATAGGCAAAGTATAATGTACAGAGGCAAGACATTGCAAATTTGAGATGGAAAGCATATATCTTAAATTAAATAAATTTTAAAAATATGATTAAAAATTGCAGCCCAGCTATGTGATAATGTCACAATAAATAATTACTCATTACACTTAAATCATAAATTAATAATTAATGGAACACAAAATAGATGAAAAAATTATGCAAACTGTCATTTATTTATGATGTTATTGCAAAGATTTGTAATAAATTTTCTACAGACACTAAATAATATTTATGACACAAAACACCTTAATTAATAAAGTTATATTTAGTTTCAATGATGAGCAAACACCAATTGGCAATTACAGTTTAAATAATTTGAAGAAGTTTACTTTTAAAAATATATTTTTATATTCACTAATTAATTGTTCTTGTTGCTGTTACTACAGTAGAGTATCGTTTATCCAAAAGTTGGTTATCCAAAACGTCAGTTATCCGAAAGAATTCCAGTCAGCAAATTTAAATTTTTACTAATGCTGTGGCGCTGCAATCTTTGGCTATATCTTGAGCTACTCCAATATTTTTTTTGTTGGTGTGTGTGTTTTAGCTGGCAGCACTGGCGCTTTTGTGTAGTGTTTTTCTGAGGACTGTGTGTCGTGCTGAATCAAACGTTTTTGATACTAGATTAACTTCTTATAATTTTTCTTTGTTTTTATATTTTTCAATATATTTATTTTGTTTGTATAAAATAAAAATAATTTTTAATGATACAATAGCCACAATTATTATTTTAAAAAGTTTACATTAGTCTTAACATCGATGAAAATTCAACGCAAAGCAACACGCAACGGAGAAAAATTTCAATATAGGATAGGTTAAAATATTTTTTCGTACATAATCGGTTATCCGAAAAATAAGTTATCCGAACAACCTCAGTCCCCAATTGATTCGGATAAACGTCGCTCTACTGTATATAAAGTATATGCATCTGTGGATTTCTTAATGGTATTTTGTAAATGTCAATCCTGTCTAAAAACTATAATAAATATTTATTACTGATCAAAATTCTATGCAAAAAATATTAAAAAAATTGCAAAGGGAAAAAGAAAATTTAAACATGAAATAAGATTGTAATGGAAAAAATTTTATATTTGATCCAATTATATAAATAATTACATTTACTTTAAATGTAATTATTTATACAATAGGATCTGTTGTTATTATGGTCTCTTTAAACTTTTTATTTCTTGAGAAATTAAAACTTCAGAGTTTACAATAAATGTAAGTTTAAAAATCAAAGAAATGACAAGGCTTCTAGACACAATATTGATTGGAAGACAGTTGCTAGGCACAATTAATAAAGATAAAAATTGTTTCAACCAATAAAAGTTCTAATATTTTTTATATTATTTATATTTAAAACAAATTTTTTAAATAGACATAAATACATATGCATATTATAAAGTGCATATATGTACAGTACATATAAATATATAAAAAATTAATTATATTTACCCTCCTTGCTAATCCAATTGCTATGTAACAGTTTTCACCAGGATTCATGATTTCTATTTCAAAATAATGTGAAGTAGTGTCTAATGGGTATCTAGCTTGAGCTAATCCAACATCTATTATACTTTTTCCACGACCTCCATATTCTAAAATCTATCAAATAAAATAATAAAATCTTAATATGAAAAAATATATTAAATGATAAAAGATACAATTCAAAATTCAATCAAACATCATTGAGTTTGAGAGTTGCATCTGAAAATGAGTTGAGTAAACTTGAAAAACATTTCATACCAAAAATAAAGAAGCCTCTTTATCAAAAGTTTGAGATGATTCAAAAGTTATTTGATATTTTAATATGATAAAAATAAGTTAGTATGGGGATTATTATTGAATATGAAGAAGATAAACAAATATGCTTTTCATATAAACTTTTTTCTTAAAAGTCTAATATCTTTATTTATCTGTGTATTCATCTAACTTTCAATTTGCTTGACTAAATTAATCTTAAATGATTTAATTAAAATAATTTTAAAATTGGACTAGGTTGATGAATTGATAGCTGCTACATACATGAATTAGGACACAGATTTCATAATTTTTTATTAAAATTTAGTTCGTAATTTTTTCGTCTGATGGTTCTTTTTATTTTTTAATATTTGTCGTCTAGAAAGGAAGATCGGTCGCTGGAAATGTATTGTCTAGAATGCAAAAGTACAAAATGGTGATCCCTATTTGGGCGTACTTGTCTTCAAATATTAAAAAATAAAAAGAACCATCAAACAAAAAAATTATGAATTATGACTATAAAATATCGTCACCAGGGGAAACCTTTTTTATCTACATTTTCCAGCACTCTCTTCTCTGTGGATAAAAGGCCGAAACACCCCCCAAGAAGTACAGATGGTAACAAGAAAGACGTTTGTATAACACCTGTTCTAATTTTAGAAAATCTTTGTGTTTTTAATTTGAAATCTTTTTGTTTTTTTAAAAGGACTTTTTTAAACTTTTTGGCAGCTAGTAACCTAGAAAGGAAGGTCAGTCACCGGAAATGTACTATCTAGAACGCAAAAATAAAAAATGGTGATCCCTATTTGGGCGAACTTGTCTTCAAATATTATATATTTGAAATTATAAAATTTATAAAATTTAGTTATTTCTATTTATTAGTAACCAGAAAAATTGATCATTATAAAAAAAAATTGTGTAACCAACTATTAATTTTTGTTTTAATTATTTTTTTAAATATTTAAATTTTACAGTTAAATTATTATATAACAAACTGCCTCTGCAAAATGCAGAGAATTGATTACATAGAAAATTCTATAATAATAAAAATAATGTACTAATAGTAGATTGAAAACACTAAAATGTAAATACGTAATGTAAAATACTGTTTTATTCTCCATGAAAATATCCTTGTATGATCTGTAGTTTTTGTTTAATATTTAAACTAGTGATGTAACGAATATTCGTTACTATTCGGTATTCGGCCTATTTTTCACTATTCGACCGAATACTGAATATTTAATCACTATTCGGCCGAATACCGAATACCTAAAAACAGGAGTAATAAATAACAAAAACACAGTAAATTAATCATTTTGGTACTTAGATTTAATGTTATCGAGTTAGTGTTGTTTGTTTATATTTATTTATAACTTGTAACATGCACAAAATAAAAAAGAAAATAATATTAGTCACATGTATTCACAATTTATAATTACAAAGATCAGCACACGTACACACCTATTCGTTCGAGAATCGTCGCACATCTGAGGGTCTGACCCTGCCTATCCTTCTTTTTAAGTGCTTGTCTTTGCTCTTCCCTTTCTCTTACCTCTATCGCTCTAATCCATGTATGCCTGTGCATACATCATAATACGCGCTCACGATACTTTCGATTTGTCACTTTTCCGTCGTAGAGTTCCCATTTTACAATTACATGACTCAGCCTGATGATAACGGAAAAAAGAGACAGATAGGACATCGATATAAGTCACAGTTATGATTTCACAGATTCGAGACAGCTTGATAGCCCGAACAGCCCCAGGCTTTCGCTCGTGCACACTAAGTGACTTTCATTACAAGCATTTAGCTTTCCGAAGTCTATGACAACAATTGTTTGGCATTGACGGGTGCGAATTTCGTGCCAATAAGCTGCCTCGACTTGTTCGATTATGTTATCAACTCAATTTCATATTTATTTTCACATTTTCACTTCGCGGTCCTTCTCTGTTATTTTTCTGTTATTTACAAGTGTAGGTCATTTGATATCATCATTTATCGCATACTTCCATGACACTCTTGTCTGTCGGCTACAACTGCCAAGAATTAACGCGATTGGTGAAGCGTAGTGACAGTGGGCCAATAGAGAGCAGGATCCTTGCCATAATGCAGTTTGCACGCCTATTTTCGTACGTGCGTTAATCGAGCCGAATAGTTTGGCCGAATATTCGGCTACGCTCCTGGCTGAATATTCGGTATTTGGCCTGAGGCCGAATATACTATTCGTTACAACACTAATTTAAACATTATGTTTATATTCTTTATTTTTACATTCTTATCTTTAGACATAATCTATTTCAAATTTGTAAATTTTTTAAATATACTTCATTGCAATAAACTTACTCAGTTGAATGATGGAGTAATATTTCTTACTGGAACTTATATATGCTTAAAAGATTCACTGCACAGATTGCAGAAACAGACTATAGATCATTTTAAAAATAGCAGTTGCATTATACAAAACAAGATATAAATTTTATTTAGTCCTAAAAATGGTCAAATTGTATATAAAATATAAAATGCATAGAAAATATGCTTTATTGGACAACACTAATTTGATCTATTTGGACTCAAATTGTGTTTCTTTTAAAGTTTTGACATCACAACATTTCAGAAGAAAAACATGATTGTGCATACAAATCCAGCCCTTAATTATTATTGTATTTTAATATATATATATATTAAAAATAAATTATATTCACTAACCAACTGAAATTTGAAAGATATGATATTCTAATAAATTAATGCTAAATAATTGAATACTTACTGAACCATTTAAACGGATATCATGTAGTCTTGACCAATCTTCTTCATTGCTATCTATACACATAAGCATGTCTTCTTCTGGAATCCATTTAATATCTAATGTTAATCTTACTTCTTCACCCAGAGAACGAAGACTAACAGCTGGAAAAAGACCTCCTGGAGGCCATAGAAAACGAGTAATTCCAATCTGTATTAAATAAATTATAAATATTTATTAAAATTAACATATTTTATACATATTTAAATTTATTGAATTATCAGATTCAAAATTTATAAGAAAATTGAACTTTTCAATCAATAATAATAACACTCTTTAATGTTTTTATTTATTTTAATTCAAATATTTTATGTAGCTATTAAAAAATATTTTAAACTAACCAATGACATTCAGTAATAAACATCAGAATGACTTGTTATAATTTGAATGATTGGATCAAAAAAATTGGTGAATAATTTGAGTGAGCTTGCATTATACTGTATTGAGTTTATATATTTTGCTGTAGAATACAACAAAAGTATATAATAAAGATTTTAAAAGAATTAATTTAATAATACAGATAATCAGCTAACTTTGTTCTATTTTATAAAAAATTACTGATCTTTGTACACTCTTTATATAACTGATCTTTCAAAACTGCTTATGGTCCTTTGTTATTATTATTATTATTATATATATTTTTAAACAATTTAATAAATAAAATTTATATAAAATTTTTAAGATTATTAATGTTATTATATGTCTATGAAATCTAGTTAACAAGTGAATCAAGTATATCACACATTGTTATTTAAAGAAATGCTCTCAATTTTATGTCTGATCAGAAAATATTATTTGAGTTTAAAAGAAGTTAACAGAAAATTTAATACTTTTCTATACAATTATAGAATTATTCTAAAATTCAAAAAAGAAATTGTTGAGTATAAAATTACATTTTTTATTTATTGATCAATTATGTCATTTTTCAACACATTGATAAATAAATAGATTACCTCTCTTCCATTTCTTGTGAAAAAAACTGGAACTAATGGTCTTTGATTATCTTGTGTTGGTAAAAGTTCAAATTTAATACCACATCCCATTCGATCTCCTGTTTCACATTTTGGACCAAATGCTAATCCTTCAACTTTTGGAGTACCTTTATACAATCTTTTTGAAAAAATTTAAATAATTTTAATTTAAATAAATTATTATTTTTTGTTTTATAAGAAATATTTTAAGACAATATAATATCAAAGTTATAGGTTATGTGATTCAAATTAATTACTTTTATCATATATTTTTAGATTATTTTCTTTTTCAATTTAAAACAAATAAAAAACTAACTTAAGCAAGTAGAAAAATTAAAAATCTCTCCCTTAAATTTATTTGTAATCTTTGTAAACAATAACAAATTGAATTAGCCATTATATATTTCCCTCAAATATATTTGACTCAATTTTCCAATCTTCTAAGTAGGGCTGTTGAGAGTTTGTAAAGGTGCTCAAATGCCATCTTTTTTTTTTTAATTTTAACAAATTACAAACAGAATGTTTCTTTGTTAATAAAAAGCAGTTTTATAGATTGTATTTTTTGTCAGTAAAAGCAATAATAATTTATAGGGGTAGAAACCATTACAAATTCCTAAGTTTTCTCTGGACCCAGGGAGAGGGCTGGGAATTTTTCCAGGGAAAAATCTCCAGCTCAACTCTCTCTCAATGGCCCTGCTTCTAGCTATAAATATATTATTAATTTACAATGACCTGAATGTGTTTGAATAATTATTATTTATTGAGATGAGATTTCAATCTCAAAATATTTTAATGGTAGTTTTTTAAATTCAAATCATTGATTAATTATATCAAATTTGATAATTATTTAATCAAATTTTAATAAGTGTTTATGCATGGATTATTATACTTATACAACAATTCAATAATAACCTCTAATTTTTAATAAACAATGATAACACCACTTTCTACTTTATTAGAGCATATCATTGAATCAAAACTTTGTATCTCCAATAATTAGTCAAAACCTCATTTTTGCATTAATGCATTTAAAGTCAATTTCTATATATTGCCAAAACTTGTAAGTGGTTTGCACCTTTTAAGCATTCTCTCTGACATTGTCAAAAACTCACAACCTTGTACTCAAAATTTTGCTCCATTCAAACCACATTTTTTAGCTCTCTTGTAAAACTTTAGAAATTACAGATATGAGGTTTTGATTGCCAACCAATGATATGAAAAAATTTCTTTAAATAATTCCTAATACTTGCAAGCTTCTTCACCTCATCTTCAAGAGTCCGTATCAAATATCAACTGCTACACACCATCTAAACAAACTCTGGGTGGTCTCCCTGCTAACTGATTGCATGCTGTTAAAGATTTTGTCAAAATTAAAATTATTTCTTTATCTTTTTCCTCTCATTTTAAAAATTCTTATCTTTCTATTGAACCATTTAAAGTTTTTTTCTTTTATTAGCAACTTCAGAATGCTGTCACCAAACTGTTTACATTCCTTTGTTTATTAACTATTATACTGTTTCTGTATGTTTCTTTGAGATCCATATTCTTTCTGCCAATGTTGTCATATCATCACCTTCTGATATTTTTACTCTCTCCCAAATAATCTCTATTTACTTCTGAAAGGTCTCTCCACTAGCAATGTATTTATCCTGCCTCTTCTACAATTTTCCTTGTGTTCTTTTAACCTTGTGCCTAAATTCTGCTTCATGGCTTCCAAATGACAGTATTAGATAGATTGGAAAAAAGTGCACCCAGAAAGTTTGTTTAGATGGTATATAGTAATTGACACTTAATATGAACCTCTGAAAATCAGTTGAATAAATTTTAAAGTACTTCCTAGTACTTTAAAATGTATATATATATTTTTATCAATTTCAAATTTAAAAAATTTTTATAAATGTTTCAGGACTTTTTGAATCCATTCATTTATAAACTTTTTCTTGACATTTCTGTACCAGAATAGAATGATCTTAAAATCTTTTATGTTTCAATATAATAAAAATGTTCTAATACAGCAAATTGTATTGGGTTCATCTTTTAAATTATGAGAATGTTGTATGTGAAATACAGCATTCCGCAATATATAATATATATAAATTTAAATTATTAAATTATTATGGACTGCTGTATTTCACATACAACATTCTCATAATTTAAAAGATGAACCTAACACAATTTGCTGTATTGGAATATTTTTATTATATTGAAACAAAAAAAAAATTTAAGATCATCCTATACTGATACAGAAATGCCAAGAAAAAGTTTTATAAATGAATGGATTCAAAAAGTTCTGAAACATTTATAAAAGTTTTTTAATTTGGAATTGATTAAAGAAAAATTGTTTAAAATTATTGAAGTACTATGATGTAATTGAGAAGTAAATAATTACATTTTTTATGTTAAAATTATGTATGTTTTAAATAGCATATCTAGACTGTTTGAGAACACACAAATTACTAAAGAAAAGCTTGGTATTAATCAATCAAGCAATAAAACCAATGCTGTTCTGCACAGAAGAAAATACTGTAGAGTATGAATCAAGTTTGGTTTATATTTGCAAAGTAAGAGGATTTAGTTTACAAATGGTACAGATTGTATTTAAAATTGTAATATAAATGTAATTAAAACTGAAATAATAATTATTAGCTGGAATTAAATATGCTAAATTTTAATANCAAAAATAACTTATTTAATTTCTCTGCTTTCACACTCGGCAGAGTGCACATTTTCGAGTAAATCGAAATGTCTGACACCTAAATACAGTCCTATCAACAGGAATCTTTGTCGGCACATAGCCCATGTGATTCCCTAAAATAATTTTTTAAATTTAGTTTAATCTCTTTCTACTGAGAAATTCTCAGTTAAATTTACATAAGTAATTAAAATATAAACTGCTGTGAATTTTGCTTTATATCGTGTTTATCGGCTGATGAATAGAATAATTTATAAATTAGATTTCAGTTAATTAAAGTACCTCAATATATCTCCATCATGATTAATTCTTTCGGAACGAACTTGTCTTTTTGGAATTTCAATTAATCTATCTCGTGATTCACGTTTATAAATACGTGATAGATGTCGCTGAAGCACACCATCCATTTTTTCAAATGATGTGAACAGCTATAGAGAATATAAAATTATCATTTAAAAAAATTTCACATTCTTCACTTAATTTGCAAACTATTTAATTTTATCATATTTTTAGAAAAACTACTATGCATATGTGGCTAGAACTATTTCTAAGATTATCAGCACAAAACCTTTCTCACTAATTTCTAGCCTTATTAACTTTTTAACTTTTAATTAACTTATTAAATTTTTAGAAAAAATCTGTTATATCAAAATTTGGATCAAAAACAAATATTATTTTTATACAATTTTGTTTAACATATTATTAATTTTCACTCACTTCCTTTTTTTGTCTGCTATGTTTTCGATTCTATTTGTAAACCCAGGCAGATCGTAAATTCAAAATGTATTCTAGAATAATGATGCAAATACAGTAGAACCCCGATTATCCAAGATAATGTGAACCAATGCTACCTTGGATAATTGAAAACTCAGATAAAACAGATGACCATGTTTATTTTAAATTTAAAACTATGAATATAAAAGATTTACATAGTAGCATGTCTTCATCCATAATGCCTCCTGCAATGCTGCTTTTACTTCTTTTTATGGCTTAAAACAGCAACAAATGATCTCAGGCCATTTATGATGAATAGATTCACACAAACACTACATATCTGAGTGTAAAATGTGGCATTTGTGTGAGTCCATCCATCATAAAAGATTTGAGATCATTCTTTCAATGTTTCGAGTCATCAAATGAGGTAAAAGCAACATTACAGGACACAAAAGATGGCTTACAGCAATATGCCCTGAAGCTATACAAGCAATAGAAAAAATATATCATCATCCAATAAATTCTTTTGAAGGTGGCTGTGCATGAGCTAAAATGAAAAAGCTTTTTATCTGTAATGAAAACTGAATGTAACCTGATAAAGAAACAACAGAAGAAAAAATCAATACAAATTTGAATTTGAATAGACAAATGCTATTACTTTGTGTTTCTCAAAATTATCTTGTAAATCATGACTAATAATTAGCTTAAAAAAAGAATAACATAATATAAATAAAATTTAATTAATATAAAAATTTTNCCTATGTTTAAAGTGTTAAAATCACTTGAAATCATTCTCATATAATTAAAAAACATAATTTTAGGATTTCAGAATACTAGAAGTTATATATTTATTATTTCAACAAAAACAATGAGGTTATAAATAAACATAAAGCCCACAAACTCTCTAGAACATAGAGGTTACTGAACTCATTCAACATATCCTAAAATTGGATAATTAGCAGCTTTTTGGTTTTATAATTTTATTTACTTTTATTTGTATTTATTTTATTATAAATTCTACTTTTTTATTTGTTATTTTATCCCGTATTTTTTTTGTAATTTTTAAAATACAAAAAATTTATACAAATTTAAATATTTGAAATATGTATACTGAATGCTGCATTCTCTTTTTAAAAACAGCTGATGATGGTCAAAATATAACCTGAAATTTTCTGTTATGTTCTTGGTTTCATAAATCAGTTGTTTTTCTATTTTCTATTTGAGTTATTTGAATTTTTTTACTAAGTTATATAGATCTTTTGGTTATAATTTAAATATCTGAAAATGATGATAATAGCAAAAATCATTAAAATTTTAATTTTTAAATGATTGCTTTTATAATCTGTGTTACAATTTAAAAAAGAAGAAAGTACAAAGTAAGCCCTCAAAGGAATTGATAGCTGAAAACAGTAAAGCTTCTTAGTAAACAATATCTTTTACAATATTTGTTGAATATGTAAACACTAGTTGAATTTTCACCAAGCAATTTTTAAGTTCAAAGTTACTTTCAAATAAATATGATACTAGAAGTAAGTATAGTTGTTTCAGCATGATAATTTTAATAATTAGACAGTAATTTAATTGTCTTATCCCTGTCCACAACCATGCAGAGTTTCCATATGTGAGTCTGGCTGAACCCATGATGGGTATGATTAATAAATCCTGTTAGCACCCAAAGAATGGAAGGTAGATTAAAAAAAAGCAGGAAAGATGAAGACTTTTTAAATTTAAATACTGTAATTCTAAAATCTGATTATTCACAGATCAATAAAGAATATGATAATAGAAAAAAATTATTATTTATTAAAACATTTATTATTATATTACAAATCTCACACAGCAGAAATCTTTACAATAATGAATAAAAAATATTAGTAATAAGTAAAGTGCTAAAATGAAAAAGCTGTTTATCTGTAATGAAAACTGAAATGTAACCTGATAAAGAAACAACAGAATAAAAATCAATACAAATTTGAATTCGAATAGAAAAAAAAAAATGAAACATATTGTATGTAGTAAATGAAATAGTAAAAATAAATATGTAAACCCTTAAAAATCCAGCATTAATTTTTAAAAATAAGTAAAATTAAAAATTAATAATGGTTTTTAAAAGCTTATTTATTTATTTTTAATTAAAAAAAAATATATATATATATAAGAACATAACATTAAATAAAATATTTTCAATTTCAAAACTTTTATAGTAATAAACAACATACCTTTTTAAAATATGGCAAAGAGTGCGGATTGACACAACTCAGCATGAATTGTCAGCCAGTCAATTTCGCCAGCTGAGTTTAGTTTCTAAAATTAATAAAGAATATCTAAGAATTATTTATAAGTAAAACCATTACTGTTATGAATAAATACAATATGCAATATATTTCATCTGAATTTTAAATAATTTAATTATAAAAGCAAATAGAATAATAATATAAATACATACAGGTATATCACATAAACTGATATAACAGAATATCAATAGAATGTTAAGCATTATTATAAATGATTTATTTACTTAAAAAAATTATTTTATATTCTCTTTGGAACTGAAAATTCAAAATTTAATTTAAAATAATTTAATGAATAAATAACAGAAAATGTCAAAAACTAAACATTTTAATGAAAAAAGAATTCCAAAAAATTTTTCAGAAATCTGTTTTAATTTTTTTTAATGTTGCTTTGTAACAACTTTCTATAATGAATAGAATCAGTTGCAAAAACTATTCATTAAAGGTATGCAATTTTAAGAATATGAAGAATAAATGGAAAAAAATTATTTTAAATACTAAAGGACATGAATTAAGTGGCCTAATTGAAAGGAAGGTTTTCTGCTATTACCAAAGTCCTTTAAATCAGATGTATTTTGCAAACATATATTAATAACAAGCTTACAATGTACCATAGAAGATGTATTAAAACGTTATTATAATATAAAAGTAAGAATAAAATATTGTAATATAATGCACATTAAGTAATTTATACTCATTGACCCAACATTTTTATATGCTGTATTTGCAAATTAAAAATTTTTTTACTTAACACAGATTCTACTCTATTCATAATTCCAAATATTTCCTTTAGAACAGAAATTTTTTGTCCATTAATGATGGGTCTACCATAATTCATTTACAGATTTTCACTACTCTTCACATCCTTGATAATTTTTTTTCCTTAATAATGTTTTCAATTAGTAACGCTGATACCTTAACTACTACATCATTAGCTCAGTGGGCCTATGTTTAAAGTGTTAAAATCACTTGAAATCATTCTCATATAATTAAAAAACATAATTTTAGGATTTCAGAATACTAGAAGTTATATATTTATTATTTCAACAAAAACAATGAGGTTATAAATAAACATAAAGCCCACAAACTCTCTAGAACATAGAGGTTACTGAACTCATTCAACATATCCTAAAATTGGATAATTAGCAGCTTTTTGGTTTTATAATTTTATTTACTTTTATTTGTATTTATTTTATTATAAATTCTACTTTTTTATTTGTTATTTTATCCCGTATTTTTTTTGTAATTTTTAAAATACAAAAAATTTATACAAATTTAAATATTTGAAATATGTATACTGAATGCTGCATTCTCTTTTTAAAAACAGCTGATGATGGTCAAAATATAACCTGAAATTTTCTGTTATGTTCTTGGTTTCATAAATCAGTTGTTTTTCTATTTTCTATTTGAGTTATTTGAATTTTTTTACTAAGTTATATAGATCTTTTGGTTATAATTTAAATATCTGAAAATGATGATAATAGCAAAAATCATTAAAATTTTAATTTTTAAATGATTGCTTTTATAATCTGTGTTACAATTTAAAAAAGAAGAAAGTACAAAGTAAGCCCTCAAAGGAATTGATAGCTGAAAACAGTAAAGCTTCTTAGTAAACAATATCTTTTACAATATTTGTTGAATATGTAAACACTACATAAAATATTTTATTTGACTATAAATAATTTATTATAGAAAAACATTTGTAAATAATTTGATATAAGTTAATCATCTAAGTAACTGCTTCTAAAATTTAATGAAAAATAACATTTTATTTAAATTAAATATAAGTTACTAGGATCAGACATTTTATTTTCAACAATTAATTACAAACAAGTTCAAATACCGTAAGACTGGAATAAAGTAAATCAGAAAAACACAAAGCTTTTCCTTGCATTTTGGAACATTAACCTGAAGAAGATCTAAGTAAATCGAAAACGTTTGTATTTTATCTGCATTAAACTATACTGGAATTTCATTTACAAGGTTCACTGGTTTGCATTTTTACTAATTAATAACCCAATTAAAGAATAACCTAATAAAAGAAAATATCAAAAATTTTGAAAATAATGTCATAATTTTTTTTGTAAATTTTCAAATTAAACTGCTTATCCAAATAGATTTAGAATCACTTAAATCTATCAATTAAACTAGTGATAGCCAGCTGTAGAATTGTCTCTTGCACAAGTTAAATTAATATTTCAATAATTTACATAATCTTATTAATTATATTTTTAATAAAAAAATTTTCCTATTTTTGTTTTCTAATATGTTTGCATTTAAAATATTTTATGTATAAAATACACGAATATACAGGATAATCTTGACTAATGTTGTCTTATTCAGAGAACTCTGTAGCTACAACCAATGACACCAAAATTTGTGTGCACACTATTCAAAGGATGTGGAAAAGGATTTTGCAAAGAAACATTTTAGTTCCAAAAGTGGGTAAATGGCACTTCAAGACAAAGCAACAGAAACACAATGAAAAAGCATTTATGCTTTTGTATGGGGACATACTGTACCAGTACAAGTTGCACAAACTGATTAGCAATGCAGGGAATGTTGTTCAATGTGTTCCCCATTGTTTAGGTGTAAAATTTGAAGACAATGAACTGTACAATGTATTCAACCATGTATTCAATATTCAATATGTTCATTCAGCTATGAATTTCCTGTTATTTTCTGCACTTCCTTCTCTATCCTCTTTCTTATCTAGCAAACTGTTTTTTTATTTTCTCCAATTGCTCATCTTTTAAATCAGCTAACCACAACTGTTCCCAATGATGCTTTGCACAGGCAATGCTATACTGTCCTTTAAAGTATGTCAAACTGCAACATTACCATGATAAATCATATTCTTTAAATGGCCCACAGCCAGAAATAAGGTTTCCAAATTCCCAACATTTTGAAACCTTCAGAAATTAAGAACAGGAAATCATATTTCCCAAGAATTCTCAAAATAACCTTTTATATTTAATTTTCATTGATGATCTGTAATAATAGCTAAGCTTCTTTTATATGTTATTTTCAGGTCTTGCTTTGAATATAATTTGGTTATGTTTTCATTGTTTTCATTAAGTAAACACAACCAACATTTTTTTTTATTAAATTATTTAAGTAATAACTCATAATATTAATGCATTTGTAAACAAATGGATGAAATTATATAAGATAATGTCGTAATTTTATTCTAGAATTACAATAAACTTTGATTCAAAAAAAAGTTTGACTAATTTGAACCCAAATAATTCAAAGCTGCGTTTTTTTGTCCCTTGAGTTTCAAAATAATGAGATTTTACTGTACATCACAATCATCAGCTGCAAACAAAGTGATTGAATGTGGTTGGTAGTATCGGTTGTCACTTTGTGGAACTGATTCATTGTGGAGAACAGAAACAGTTTTCTGTTTACATAGAAAAATATTTATTTTTACAATCCAGGATTTGACTAAAATGTCATATTAAGGTGAGCTACCTTAGATTTCTTTAGTTAATTTATCTGAAGATGACTTTGTAGTCAAATCCTGGGTTATGAAAATAAATATTTTACTGTGTAAATACAAACTGTTTTCCATTCCTCATGACCAAATGTGCTCAATTTACAAGAGTTAAAATTAGCTGGTTACATGTTATTTAATTCTGATGTCACACATGCATGATGATGTGTAATATTGTAACACAATGTAAGTTTATATAGCAATAAATAGGAAAAATGTCTAAAAGATACATTGTGAGTAGTACATTTATTTCCCATTGTGGATATTACTGGGATCTAGGAGCCAATTTTCCCACTTTTTCAATCAACTTTTCTCAGGATTTGGGAATGGAAAATAAAAAAACATTCCTGTCTGGAAAACCTATGTGAATTCAGATCCAGAAAATGTAGTGGCCAGATGGACAGAAACCAACAGCTAATCACCTGGCCGTCAGTGAAATGTTGACACAGAAGTTGCTATATTCTATATGGCTATGCATGTCACATTTCTTTGCTTGCAGCACTATTTACCTTGTAGCAGACAATTTTGGGACTAACATATTTCTTTTTCACATCCTTTGAATAGAATGTAAATAAGTTTTGATGTTAATCAGCTTATTGCTTGGATCTAAAGAATCTTCTGAACAGAACAACTTTAATTCTGATCACCCTGTATACATACATTTCATATATCTATACATATTATCATTGCATTGATTAATAATATTTCAGATTAACTTCATATTAATTTTACAAATTAGCAATTATGACTGGAATCATAAAATAGCAGCTGTGATATCAATAAATCAACTCTTAACTTCAATTTATTAATTGTTAAAATTAAATCATACTTTTCAAACATTTTGGAAATTCTATTCTTTTGTTTTCTTGAAAATTATAGTTGTAAATAAATTAATCATAATGTGCTATATCATATTTTTATTTTTTATAACTTGTAATGACTTCTGTAAGACAGCTTAACTTTTAAATACATTATTTTAAATACAAATATTAACTCAATATATTTTAAAACTTTCTAATGATAATATGTTAGTCATTTATAACTTTGAAGATTTAAGTAAGTAAAATAAATTCTGATCACATATAACTTCAGAATAAATCACAATGATGATGTAGTACTGTGTAGACATTTTTAGTACTGTGGATAATCAAATTTATTATTGTAGGAAAAACAGAAATTAATAGTCTAATAAAGAAATAACCTTAAGATTCTTAAGACATATGATTCTGAAAGTACCAACAGTACAAAAAATGATGGTGACCAAAAATTTGAATGACTTCTTGATTATTGATATTTTAAATATTAATTGTTAGAAAAATTATGAAAAACAATTTTCATCAAAATTTTGATGATAAAAACTTTCACTGAAAAATATATATAGTACAGTATATTAAATTATTTAAAAAATATTAAAAATTTTAAATAAGTAAACTAAGTGGCATCTTGTTAAATTCATTCTTACATGTCAGAACACATTACTTCCATCTCCTGAAGAATTTTTTACCCAATGAAAAAGTACATATATATATATAACTGCTGGTAAAATTTCAGCTTTGAATGAGGCAGTTGAGACATGATTATCAGAGCATGGCCATAGGTATGAAAAAAGTCAATGGAACCAATGGATTACATGTGACTCTTTGAGAGATATAGCCCCGAAAATTGACGTATCTAGAATTTTGAAGACCCTCAAAAATGGGGTAAAATTTAAAAGTGAAAAAAATCCAGAACTATTTCTCAAAACAATGCTAAAAATTAACTGTTTTCCAATTTACTAGAGATGGCTAAAAGCTCAAACATGAGAAACAGTATTGCACCAACTACTACAAGGGAACGATCAGAGTCACATTACATAACACTGTTAAGTCTATTGCATGTTTAAAAAGCAGCTGATTTTGGGAGTCTATATCCCATGAAGAGTCATACGTAGATTATCAATTCCTTTGACTTTTTATATTCCTATGACCACAGTCTACAACCCCAATAAGGTTCCAACTACATTATTCAAAGCAATAATTTTACTTATTTCATGACATTCCATAATCTAGGTGTTTGTCACCATCACCTATAAACTTTTTTACAGTTCAAAAATTATTATTATTATTAAAACATTTACCCAACCAAACATCCAGCTCATGAAACACAAAACAACACAGAAAAACAAACATTTTCAATTGCATTTAGCAAGCACCATCACACAGGAGCTTCCTCTACTTAAGTACCCGAAAATGCTGGAAATTTACAAACAACACAGCTGTCAACTACAAGGACGACAACACATCATCCCCAACTCGGAGGGCATTTTTGGATACTTAATATTAATTTTACATCTCGATACAAACACACAACCTTCGACTGCCAATCAGAGGTTTGTTTTATATTTTAAATTATTACATTCCATTGTCCATCCTATTCCAATATCCATTTCTGAATAAGTTTTTTAACTTGAAGATGATTAAAAATATTCATTTTTCTCCATCATTTATTATTATTATTTAGTGGAAAAAAAAGTGTGTAAAGTAAGATGAAAATGTAAGTTCTTTATTATCATAAATCAACTTCTCAACTTTCTGGAAACAATATAAAAACACTCTACTTCAATTTTACACAAGAAATAAAGGAATAATTAAATAATTCATAAAATACATAGGAATGAATGGAAAAATTATAAATAATGAAACATTTTGTTTTATAAACCACATTAAAATTAATTCAGAATCTTTAATAATATATTAATCATAATTTACTTGGATCAATCTTCATTTAATTACAAATTACAGTGACATTCAAGTATACACCTGATCATCACACAATACATTTATGACGTCATATAATGGGTTGTCTGGCTAAAAACATAAGACAATATTAAAGTTAACGTTGTCTATGACAAATTCTGTAAACAGTGTAATTGTACACCTCACACACCTTCACATATGATGCAATTATAAAATAACAACGGAAATTTAAACGAATATCTCATAAATACACACCTTAACAAGGATATCATGAACGGAATCCAGCCCCAATAATCTCTCATTTATGAATGAAATCTTAGAAAAAATATTACGAAGTAAATAACCTTTACTCCGAACTGTATCACTCCCCGAGCAAAACTAACAACGTAACCGAAATGGCGATACGAAACGGAAAATTTACATTAAATAAAAAAAAACTATTAAAATGATAATTAGAACGATATTTATAATTTATAAACGCACCATTTATTTTTTTATACGTAAATCGATTTTTTTTATAAAAGAGAACGGAATTAATCCCGTTTCGGCTTTTAGCGACGTCCTCATTGGCTGTATTATGAAAGTGATTAAATTAGATCGTAAATATGACAATTGGACGGTGTTGTTACGATTTTGAAATTGATTAATTTTTGTGTAATTGAGAAAACAACACGTGGAAGCGTTAGAAATGTCGATAATTTAAGGATAATCGCTGTATTTGGTTATTTATAACGTTAATTTCATATATTGATATGGGTTGTTTCCATTCGAAGTCAGAATCGATTAAAAATAAAAGAAAGAATTCGTCTTCTACAAAAACTTATTCTTGGTAAGTGTATGAACTCCCGCGTTTAAGTTGCATGCATTTTTTAAATTGTCGTTTAGTATTGTCTAAATAATAAACGGTAGGAGTTACTTTTAGTTACTTGCTTATGTGTTTACATACGTGTGAACTAACTAAAAGTTACTGCTACCGACAAATGCTTTATCTTTCCAGCTGAAATTAGAAATGGGTTTGGTAATTTTAATTATATTAAAGATAAGATACTTAATTATTTACGTAAGCATCGTATATTTATCTTGAAGTGAAGTTTTATTTCTTTATTAGTAATTATTTGATGAAGAATTTTCCATTTTACAGACCAAGTTTACAATCTAACCCTGGACACATTTCAGAATCGGTGATAATATCATCAATATATAGTGTTAATAAAATTGCTCTATTCAAAAATTGATTCTATGACCAAATATTAAAACCTGGCAAAATTGAGGATGGTCCCCTGATATCAGATATGTGACCACCCTACATTAGTTGAAATTATATATTGACTTTAAATTGGTATTCTTATGAAGGGGCTGTTGAGAATTTGGCTTGGGTCTTTTTCTATTTTTTTTTTTTTTTTTCTTTTTGTAAATCAAACGATTGCCATAATTAATCGAGCTATTTTCTGTTACTATTAATAATTAGTTATTAAGTAATTTGGTATTAGATGTAGATGTTACATGCCATCTCTTATCAAAATTAATAATTATAGTAATTGGACTGCAATTTGAAAAAACTGTAGACCTATAAATTCCCACTGTCTTTCCTTAATCTTGATAATGGAGTTAGATAGATGAAAGATGAGATCAGATATGGAAACCATAGGGGAGGGAGACCTCTATTAGCTATATACAAACTTCTAATGCAAACCGGAAGTCGTGTTGCTTCAATTCAGAACTTTTCTCCTGAAAGCAGTTAGATGATTGGCATGACTCTATTGTTAAGGGAAAAGTATGATGTACAGGGGCAAGCCACTACTAAGGTGGAGAGCATATATTTTAAGACTATAGAGAACACTTCAAACCAGATGTCGAACAATTCTTACCGAAACCTAATGTCTGGTAAGATAGCATCCTGGTAATGACGCAACAACCAACTGCCATAGATATTTCGAGGGTTCAGAAATTTTCAAGGCAAGTTTTAACAGTACATGTATCAATTACAAGGAGGAACTCTATCTGTTGGCAGGTTGGCAGGCCCTTTATGGTCCGGAGTTATAATATTTGGTTATCGTAGGACTTATGGCGCATTCCCATACTGACTCATAGCATTGTATTCCATTTTTTGTAATGTTTAGGCAGACACTCTGTGACCTCCCAATTTTAAATACATTCCATTCTCAACAGATACTGATATAATTTTATATTTTTTGAACATTTGAATTTTTATTTTAAATTGGTGTTCTGTCAAAGAAAGGGCAATGTTCACCTGAAACAGGACGCTGGAGGAGCCCAAAAACATTTATGAAGTGCATTTTTCCAACATCAGACATTAGGTTTTGGGTGTGATTATATTTTAAATTAAATAAATTAAAAATATGATTAACAATTGTAGCTCAGCATTGTGACAATGTCACAATAAATAATTGCTTGTTTAATATTTATTAAATAATTTTAGAATAGTCTGGAAGAAAGAATTGGCCCAGAGCAGGATTCAAACCTGCAACTCTCACTTACTGTGCAGGTTACAATGCCAGTTATGCCATCCAGACCTCCGAGTGATTGTTTGGAGGTCTGGGTGACGTAACTGTATCAAAAAACTGTTTTGAACAATATTTCAATTGTTCAAAACAAAAAACGTTTTTTGTTTTGAACAATTGAAGATATCTACAGTCTAACTATGTAGATATCTTATTAACTTAATAAAAAGCAGTTTTAAAAATTTTATTTTTTGTTAGTAAAAATAACTTTAATTTATAGAGATAGGAACCTCCACAGGTTTCTCTGGGTCAGGGAAAATCCTTAGTTATTCTTCTCAATGGCCTTGCCCTATGCCATTTTGTTTTACATTCTGAAATTCACATTAGAAATCAAACCACATTACTTTTTATTTAAAGCTATCTATCCATCATCTTGTCATCTCAATCTTATATTTCTAAAAGATTTTTAAAAAATATTTTAAGCAAAATTAAAATTGATATTTCTTTTAATAAATTAAAAATGAATAAGGCAAGACTCTATCCCTCCAGTCATTAGCATCCTTCTAGGGTTATAGATAGAGCTATTGAGAGGGGGGAACTGGGGATTTTTCCTATGCCTAATGAAAATTTAGGTACCCATAATGGTTCTTATCTTATAAAGTGAATGTTTTTTATTATCAGAGAACAAAATCATGCAAACAACCTTTTCACTTTCCAGTGCAAATTTAATATTAATAATTGGACAAGTGTTTTTGAGCTGCTTTACAGATCAACTTCAGGTTTATCCATACATTAACTTATATATTTATCCATTATTAACTTATTTCTGGTTCCAGAAATAGAACAAAAAATAAGTTAATGGCCCACCCAAGGGGCTGGTTATGAGCTGGTTATGCAACAAAACTTCTGATCTTCAGACCACATGTTTTATATATTTCATTTGTTTAAAGAAATGAGTAAAGGAATTCACTCTACTCCCAGGCTCCATTATAAGCTATTTTTGGTCCTGGTTCTGAGTGAAAAGTAATTATGGACAGGAGCATTTGGTTAAATAAAACTTGAATTGATTTTTTGGTATCACCCCTAATAGTGTAAACTTTCGTGTTTATGATGTAACTGGAATCTGCCTATTTTCTGAAAGAAAATCTATCATTACAGTTAATGAATGATAACCATTAAAGTTATATTCATGTAAGAAAAAATTTTTTCTTTCTTCAAATATGTTAAAAAGCTTCAAAACATAGTTAAATAAATAATTAATTAATTATTAAACATCAATGTAACGTCCTACTAATAAGCTATGTCTGAGTAGACAGTTAAAGATTAGTTTAAATACAGGTAACCCCCGTATAACATGGTAGTTACGTTCCAAAAAATTGCCGTGTTATGCAAAACAAAGAACTAATACGAAAAGCAGGGTTAGGTTCCAAAAATTAAAAAACATGCTAGTATATTTTCATAATTAAGATAAATATCTTCATTAAAATTTTTTAAGTGATACATATTAATATAAATTAAACAATGTTTTCTTTGTCATCACTAAAAACACTATTAATTAACCGAGAGCGTTTTCTTTTTGGCAAGTTATCCTTATCCTCTGAGCATTTTTCTGCATTATCTTCAGATCCATGCTTTACCTTTTGCAAAATGTATGTAATTTTAGATTGCTTGCTTCTAGTTAAAAGATCTTTATAAATTTCCCCATATGGTGCTAAGCACTTATGAAGAATAAAGCAAGTATGGAATAAGGGAAAAACATTCTGCAACATCAGAAGCAGAAGTGTCGCGATCTAGCGACATTGAAACAAGTTTCAAGAAGGACCACGTGTATCGACAGAAGGCGAGAAGAGAAAATTTACATACTTAAGTACTAATAGTTCACGAAAATAATAATTTTCGTGAACTATTATTACTTAAGTATGTAAAAATTTATTACATTTCCTGTTGTACGAGGGTTTTACCCAATTCTCGAACCGTGTCAGAGTAAATCTGTGTTATAGAAGTGCCGTGTTATATGGGGGTTACCTGTAGTTAACATGACGTTAACTGTCACTATCTCAGGTAATTAAGTTTTATTATATAAATCAGGGCTTCTTAAACTTTTTATATTCGCAACCCCATTTATGATTGTGAATTTTTTCGCGCCCCCCAAAAAAATCTAAATTAAAGATATATATTGATATATACAAATTTGCAAAAACAATAATGGTGTCCTACCACAGTTCACTCTTGTGTTACAATGGAACAGAGACAACTGAATACACTGAAAAGCGATAACACTATACTAGTTCACACTACAGTGTCATTGTCTTGCTGCACCAGATGTGACACAAAGCGCAACTCACGAAACCTGACACAAAGCGTGCTATTTTCAAACTCTCACAAATTATTTTCAATATTTTGTATTAAAATCTCGCGACCCCAAATGGGGTTGCGACCTATAGTTTAAGAAGCCCTGATATAAATCATTGTATGCATATCCTAATTTTTTCAATGCATTCTGTAAATTTGTAAACCTGTAATCAATTTACTGATAAATATGTAATAATAGAACTGAAGAGGGGCATTAAGCCCGAAATGCATATTCGTCCAAATCAATAAAACAACCTTTTTCCTCTGAAAGTGTTCCTGTGTGATTTGTTCTCAACAGCAACATTGTGCTAAGAAAATACCTAAAATTAGATATATTAATACAATTTTAATTTTATTTTGTTTAATCACAAATAAAATATTATCAAATGCATGTAAATGCACACATTGTCCTACAAAATTACTGGCATTTTAAACTTTAAGGAAAAATCTTGTAAAATCAACAACAAAATTTGTTCATGTAAAGCTGGACAATTCGGAACTTTTTTTGCCAATTTTTAACAGTTGAATCCACTCTCTGTCGAATCGACACTTATGAGTCTCTCCAAATTCTGATTTCCGAAGAATCATCTGTTTTCACATGGGAATGGATTAAAACTTATATTGGGCTCCCATGTGATTTTGGAATGAAATTCCAATTCGGAATTCAATTCAAAAGCTTTGCCTTTCCTATTGCTATTCATCTTTATTCCTGACAATACACAAGAATGATTCAAATGATCCAGATAAAATAGTTTTGTTTTTAAACACCAGAGGGTGAGCATTCGGTAAAAAATGTGACTACATGGTTCACAAAAATTATTGCAAAAATGCAAAGAATCTTTTGCTCACACGTATAGGACGACCTAGGTTTTTGAAGCAGTGAGAAACAAATAAAAACCTCATCTTATACGCAAGTAAATATGGTATATAATTCTCCTTTCTGATTATATATTCATATAATTTTGAAGCAGTTTTGTTAGCTATATTTAATATCAAAGATGTTGAAATTATCATT